ACCACTGTAAAGTTGTTATAATTTAGAATCTCCCTAGCTACGAAATAAGTATCTATTTTCAAGATTCTTTTTTATTTGAGGTAGAACAAAGAAATGCATCTGCGGGACCACAATGCACATTGTTAAGAAGATGAAACATAACTGATTAATGGCAAAATTAACGGTTACTTTTCAACTGCGATTTAAGGGAAATAATCGGTTTAGTAATAGGATGAAATTGTGTTGTAATTTGCTTGTAAACATGTTGAAGAATGACCAAAAGGATCAAAATATGATTTGAATAACTAAATTACATGTTATGTTCACTATTAGACACAAAAGATTAAATATATATTGAAAATCTTTGATAGTTATGACTGCAGATCAAGTTACTGAATTAAGATGTTAATCGTGTAATTAGGCAAATAAAAATTATGCATGTTAATATAATATTGATATTACAATAGGAATATAACAGTGTTTTCAAAATAGAACACATGGGCAGTTGACTGTGAAATCGGACATGACCGATTGATTTGCGTACTGGAGTTTGCAAAACAATTGATTTCTTGCTGCCCCTGTTGCAGTTCCCAAAAAAGCTAAACATTCTGAAAATGTTTTTTAAAAATCACAGATTTAAGTCTAATTAATGGATTATTTCGAAGAAAAGCACATGCTAGTCATAATTTGTGAAATAAACACCATATTCTATCTGCTAGGTCAGATTTCATGCTGAACCTGCCTCATATTGGAATGCTGTGCATACAGTGAGTGTAATGTGCGAAGACATATTAATAGTGCTAATGAATAGCTTATCAGCTTGAGGTACTGTTCCAGCATTGTTACCATTACATTCATTTTTATATAAACAAAACCTTTCTGGGTATATTTGAACATACCTATGACTATCTCATCTTGAGGTACGACTTGAACCCAGAACAGCTGGCCTAGAGGTAAGAACACTACCAAGGCACAACATGACCTTTTGGATATTGAGTTCTGGGCATTATAAAATCAACCTGGGTACATATTGGCACAATGGAAATGTCACTGAATTAAGAATCCAGGCTATTCTGGGACACAAGTTCAAATCTGACCGTGGCAGCTGGTGGAATTTAAATCCAATTAATAAAGCTAGTCTCAGTAATAGTAACCATGGGGCTATCATTGATTGTTGTAAGTATCAAGCTGGTTCACTAATATCCTTTGGGGATTGAAATTGCCATCCTGATTTGGTTTGGCTTCCATGTGATTGCAGATCCCTAGCAGTGTGGTTGACTATGAACTGTCCTTAGAGATGGCCTGGTAAGTCAGTCAGATGTACCAAACCATTAGCTGGACTAGAACAATTCAAGGAAATAGTTCACCAACAGTTTCACAATTAGTTACGGGTAACAAATGCTACCCTTGCCAACAATGCCCACATCCCATGAAAGAATTTAAAAAATATTAATGGACTGAAGAAAAAGATTCTAAACAAAAGAAAACAACAAACTGCAGGTATTGGAAATTGCTGGAAAAATTCTGCAGGTCTGGTAGCATCTGTGGAGAGAAAGCAGAGTTAATGTTTCAGATCCAGTGAATCTTCTTCCCTGAGGAAGAAGGATCACTAGACCCAAAATGCTCTTTTGAAGTACATAAAAGTTTAGATCATGGGCCAATACAGCAAAGACATGATCAAAGTGCTTTGGCCAGCAGGTGTTTGAAATTTATATAATGTCTTAGCACCATGATGTTTCAGACACTGAAGTATTCTCGAGTTGTAGTTATTGTTGTAGGAAATATGGCAGCTAACGTGCACACAATAATCATCCACAAACAGCAATCTAATTGTGATCAGATTTGTTTTGATGGTGCAGGATAAGTATTGGCTAGGACAGCAAGGATAACTCCCCTGCTTTTCTTCAAAACATTGTCATTGGGTCTTTTATATACACTTGAGTGAGTAGATAGGGCCTTAGTATACAATCTCATTTGAAAGGCATTGCCTCCAACAGTGCATCATTCCCTCAGAACTAGAATGTTAGCCTGGATTTTTGTTTGAATCGTGCTTATGTGTTTATTTACCTTCAGCAGCTCAAGACAAATTAACTTCAAAACCAATTAAACTTATCTGCTGAGACCTGATATTTAATTTGAAATTGTTTTTAAGTTGTAAAAGTTTGATAAGTGTCGATAAAACTTGGGCTGAATTTTCCCAGCTTCTGAATGATGTGGGCTATGGTGAGACAGTTGGGAAATGTGGCAAGAATGAAAAAAATAGACAGTGGTAGAATAGGTTGCTTCACTTCAATCAAGTGGCTGTGTAATTGAATCATCATTAATCATTGACCATAGTTGGAAAGGGAGGTCTGCAACTGGTGCCCTCCAGAATCAGCTCTGCACCCTGATGGCAACTTCTTTTTCTCGTAGAGGCTATTCAACAGCCACTGGATGTAATAAGTTGGATAGGCTCATGGGAACATTCTCCACCTGTACAGCTATGCCCTTTGTGCAGCCTATGAGACTATTACAATGTGTGCAGGAATTGTGAATTGAAATGAATGCAGCTTGCACAGCTGTAGTCATAGTCGTAGAGTCATACAGCATGGAAACAGATCCTTCAGTCCAACTTGTCCACACCAATCATTTTCCCAAACTAAACCAGTTGGTGCAGGCAGAGGAAAAGATTCCCAAGTGAGAAGTGCACAGGGCAGGAATCAATCATAGAATATCTACAGTATGGAAGAAAGCTATTTGGCCAATCAAGTCCACACTGACCCTCCAAACAGCATTTCACCCAGACCCACCCCCTCTCTGTAACCCTACATTCCCTATGGCTAATCAACCTAACCATCTCTGGACACCCTGGGCAATTTAGCATGGCCAATCCACCTAATCTGCACATCTTTGGACTGTGGGAGGAAACCAGAGGAAACCCACATTGACACAGAGAGAACATTGCAAACTCCACACAGTCACCCAAGGGTCAATTGACCCTGGGTCCCTGGTGCTGTGAGGCAGCAGTGCTAACCACTGAGCCACCATTCTGTACCAGGAAGGTTTAGTAATTTGGTTGAATTGAGTGGATGAGAGCTGTTGAGGGAAGATGCTGAATGCATCTAGAGGGAGGTGGGTGCAGTAGCAAAGTTAGACTGAGTGTGAGATTACAGAAGGGAGGTGATGCAAAACATAGATTTTCACTGAGTTCTCATGGCATTGCTGCATGTTCCTCCAGCCCATGAAAATGGCACTGATCCAAGAGGTAACTTTGGCCATGCTGGCAGGATTTGATACCATGGCCTTTGGCAATACAGGGTAAAGAAGATGGCCCTCCTCTTCACCAACCTGTCCACCAGGACTTTCAAGTTTCTGGCAGCAAAGCAGGGTGCTAATTTGCCTCTGACAGACTTCCCCTTTGCAATTCTTCAGAGACATAAACTGTGAAGGGCAATTACTGGCTTGCAGCTTTTGGAATAGTACACACTGGGTTTAAATACGGCACCAGTGACATAAATGCCAGAAAGTCCTGGCACTGTTGAGCACTTCCACTGCAACAGAGTGCAACAGCAATACCATGGAGGTATTGTGCATACTTTTTCAGTTGATCAGTATAAAATTGCATGAGGAAAGTGACTAAGGCTCACAAAGGGGAATCCTCCATTAAACACCCTGAAATTGACACAACCAAATTTGGGGAAAATTCAGCTTATCAGTTTTTATCAGTCCATGTAAGAGTATTTAGTTTATAGTCACAACATTATATTATTTTTATATCATTGGAATAGTCATATTTTAAATGTTTTGGAATGGAAATCGACATTTTAAAAAAAGACTTCTGTAGGTTGTGTTACTGGAAAGGCCCGCAATTGTCACACATTCCTAATTGTCCTTGAGAAGATGGTTGTGAACTGATGCTTGTTGAACCACTGCAGTCCATTTGGTAAAGACCAGGAAGTTCCAGGATTTTGAGCTAGCAACACTGAAGAAAATGGTGATATAATTCCCAGTCAGCACATGTATGGCCTGGAGAGGAAGTTACTAGTGGTGGTGTTCCTATTCATCTGCACTTTTGTGCACGTTAGAGCTCATAGATTTGGAAGATGATATTGAAGGACCTTTGGTGATTTGTGTAGTGCATTTTGTACAAAATGAAAGTCACCATAGTCCCAGAGGGGCAGAAGCTGTTCTCTCCATGGGGAAGGATGACTGGTATTAAGATAAATCTGAGAGTCACCACACCACAGGCAAAGAGTGAGGTTGAAGATAGAGGGCCTTCACAGTGACCTTAGCACAGGAAAGCTGAACCCACACTGTTGGCAACATTCATTCTGTGTGGCAAAGCAGCCATCCAGTCAACAGAACTAATCAAGACTCATCTTACAAATGGTACACACTGCTGTACTTAGATCATTGGTGGAGGGAGTAAATGTTTAAAGTGGTGCATGCATGTTAATATTGTGGGCTATTTGTTCTGGATAATTGGAGAAAAATTTCTTGGAAAGCTGATCTGGAATACACTACCTAAGAGGATGGCGGAAGCAGATGCAGTGCTAACATTCAAGAGAAGTGACTAAATACTTGAAGGAAAAATATTAAATCATTATGAAAAAAGAACAGGGGACTGGGGTTAATTGGAGAGTTCTTGGAGAAAGACACACCACGAAGAATAGCTTCCTATTATGCTGCATCATTCAATGATTTAGTAATGATGGCCGTCAAAAAAAAGCGAAGTAGACAGCAAGTTCTGGAGGCAGTTTATTGAAACAACTCAGATTTGCCAATTGTTCAGTGGATAATCCCTGCCAGAATATCCACCAGCAATGACTGTGGGAGGGATCACATACTTTGTACAGCAGTATTGACGACTAATGATTTAAAAAAAACACAGCCTAGACCAAAGGATCGATAAGCAAATAAACGCGGAGATAGAGATAACAACATTGAACACCCTGGGATTCGAGAATTGATAGATACGGTTCAGTGGTGAAAAGGATGAGGCATTTATTGTTTTCAAAGCAAGAAGAAATGTAGTTGTGAATATGGGTGACTGGAATCTGTTAGGAAGCGTTTTGGAAGAGGTACACGTTCACTCGACCATTCTGGGGAAGATCTGGCTGACGATCCTGTTCATTTTCAGGATGTTGGTCCTTGGAGTGGCTGCTGAAGATGTTTGGGATGATGAACAAGCTGAATTCATCTGCAACACAGAGCAACCAGGCTGCAGGAACGTTTGCTACGACAAGGCCTTCCCCATTTCTCTCATTAGGTACTGGGTCTTACAGATCATCTTCGTGTCCTCGCCGTCCTTGGTTTATATGGGGCACGCACTCTATCGCCTGAGAGCACTGGAGAAAGAAAGACAGCGGAAGAAAGCCCACCTTCGAGCCGAACTGGAAGAGATGGAGCCGGAGCTGGAAGAGCACAGAAGACTGGAAAAAGAACTGAGGAAGTTGGAAGAGCAGCGCAAAGTAAATAAGGCACCTCTCCAAGGTTCACTTTTACGCACTTACGTCCTCCAGATCCTGACCAGATTGGTGATGGAGATTGGTTTTATGGTGGGCCAGTATCTCCTGTACGGATTTGGACTTGATCCCCTTTACAAGTGTGTCCGATCACCCTGTCCTAATACTGTGGATTGCTTCGTTTCCAGGCCCACAGAAAAGACTATTTTCATTGTCTTCATGCTCAGCATAGCTGCCTTTTCCTTGCTTTTGAATATACTTGAAATCGTTCACCTAGGAATCAGAAAAATCAAACAGGCGCTTTACCTAGAGTCAGACGTAAGCATGTACGAATCGAAGAAGAGCTCAGTTGTGCAGCAAGTTTGTATTTTAGCCAACTCCTCGCCTGATAAACCTGCCCCGAGGACCCTCAGTGCTTATAAGCTGTTACCAGAACAGGAGGGACATCTTGGAAACGTCCCTATTTTCTTGACTCCGATGTCTCTTAGCATGATTAAAGGTGAGGCCTGTATTATTTAGAGTCAGAAACATACATATTCAATTTCTTCTGCATGCAATATTCAGATCAACGAATTAAAAGTCTGAAAAATAAGAAATGGAGTTGACACAGCGCCAGACAGGTTCTTCAGTTGGCACACTCTAGATTCCAAATATTCACTGGGATATTTGGTTTGATTCTTTAACTAAGCTGGTGAAGCAATAAGCAAAACCATGACTCATTTAAGTGAGTTGTGTAGAATCTACTTTTGATACAGATTTTTAAATTCATCATATTTTAAAAACTTGTTTTAGGTAATGATTTTTAATTATAATACTTAAATATTGAATTTGCGTAATTCCACTGATCTCAGACAGGGCAGGAGTAACCATAATTAACCTCAGCATCCATAGATTAAAGCAGTGCCAAGAGAAATCACTGCCAAGTGTGACACTGTAGGTCACTGCAGTTTAAACACTTAACAGTTTAAACATTCAATAGAAAATACAGGTGAATGCATTTTAAGTGTATATTGACTTAACAATCACGGATTAATGCAAAATATTCAAACTTTGTCTTTCATCATAATTTGATTATCTGGCATGAATGACCAGATAACTAACTACACCTATTGCGGATTTTTATTTACAAATGAAATTGTTGATTCATCGAGAGTCCCAATTAATCATAAATCACTAGTGGCTCGGGGAGAGACCAAACTAGTTTGCAGAAGTGAATGAGACTCCAGCTAATAGAGCAAAGTTTGGACATTGTGTACAGACATGTCTGTTCATGTTTAATTAGCTATTGCCTGTGGGTTAAGCGCTCACATGAAGGAGTCAGCACTTTCAAAAAACAGAAAAGGGAGTATAAAAATTAGCATAAAAATGTTGAAGGAATGGGAAAATAAAAGTGTGGAGCTGTTGTGAACAAGTTAACCTCACATAGTATAAAAAGATTTTAATGTCAACAAATTATGATCTTTTTCACTGTTACTGGATTTAAGTATAAAAAACATTTATTCTTGAGATCCTAATAATGATCATATATAAGAATATACATTATAATACATATGTATAATTTGCTATTTCCTCATACTGAAAAGCAATGGTGTAAGATAGCTCAGTAACGGCAAGCTACTCAGTCTAACCTCAATGGTAAGGAAGCTTCTAGAAACAATAGGTTCGGACAAAGTTAATAGTCATTTAGACAAATAGTAATTAATTAAAGAGAGCCAGTATGGATTTGTTAAGGGAAAACTTTGTTTAACTGAACAGTAACGAGCAGGAAACAGAGAGAATTTCTTTCTGTGCTGTGATACTCTATGACTCTAGAATCGATGTATTGTACTCAGACATCCAAAAGACATTTGTTAAAGTGATTTGACAAATATTTGTGAACAAAGCCATAGCTCATGAAATAAAAATTACAGGAATAACATGGCTATGAAATTGGCTGTGTGAATAGGAAACAGAGAATAGTGGTTAACAAATACTTTTGGGACCAGAGAAAGATTTGAACTGGCATTTCCCAGGGATCAGTATTTGGATCCTAGTTCTTCCTGATATAAATTGTATCTTCCTGGTGTGCAGGACACAGTTTCAAAGCTTGCGGATGATAAGGAACTTAGAGAAAGGTCAATTGTGAAGAACATCATGTGGAACTTTGCAGGACATAGACAACTTAATAAATTGCGTGGAACAAATGACAGTTTAAATTTAATTCAGAGACATGTGGGGTGATTTATTTTGGTGGGAAAGAGCCATGGAGAAACAATGTGAAATAAAGGATACCATTTTAAAGGGAGTTCAGGAGTTCAGGTAGTAGGATGGATATGTATATGTACAAAAACCATTAAAAATGACAGAACAGGCTGGAAGGGCAGTTAAATGAGCAGACAACATCTTCGCCTTTATTAATAGAAGCATTAATAAATTGGTATATAACATTTTAAATACATAACATTGTATGTAATTAAATAAATGGAAAAAGGATAACAGCATAAAAAGGCTTAATTTAACATATAATGAACGTATAGCAATCAAAACAAGCATAAAAAGTTGCTTTTTTTCAATATGTTGGAGTCTGGATGACTTTAAAAATGTAAATAAAGTAGTAAATTAGTTTCTTTTTGCTTGGAGGATTATCAAATGAACTAATATAGAACATAAAACAGAATAGTACAGCACAGGAACAGGAAATTTGGTCCACCATGTCTGTGCTGATCATGATGCCATTCTAAACTAATCTCATCTGCCTGCATATGGTCCATACTGCTCTGTTCCCTGCCTGTTCATATGTCTGTCTAAATGCCTCTTAAATGTTGTTATTGTATCTGCTTTTACCACCTCCCCTGGCAATATTTTCCAGGCATCTACCAGGCTCTACATAAAAAACTTGCACATTTCCTTTATACTTTCCCCCTTTCACCTTAAACCTATATGCGCTAGCATTTGAATGAAAGAGCTTGACTTGCAGAGTTGTTTTGTATGGATGTGAGACCTTATGAAAAGAGGAGATCAACTTGATTTAAATTAAACTATTTCAAATTAAGAATAGATATTATTGTTTTAAAAATGTCAATTGATAACCGGTCATCTCTACATTATTAACCAATAATGTTTTCAGCATCAAATTAAATTGTAATAACCTGCTCATTTGCAACGATAAAAAAAATAGAAAATGCTGGAAAAACTCAGAATGTCTGGCAGCATCAGTGGAAAGATAGAGAGAGAGAGAGACAGAGTTACATTTCGAGTCCAATGACTCTGACTGAGTCAGAACACTGGAAAAAATGTATATTTGATTCAGAACATTAACTTTGTTTCTCTTTTCATGGATGATGCCAGACCTGTAGAGTTTCTCCAGTATTTTCTGTTTTTATTTCACATCTCCAACATCCACGATACCTTGCTTTTACTTGACTGTTCATTTGTAGCATTGCTGCTTTCGCCTACAGATTAGCATGAATTTTGAACAATATATTGTAACAGTTAAATAGATCAATTGGCATGCAAATACACAAGCAGTATAGCGTTGTTACATATTTTCACAGAATTATAACAGTCTTGTCTAACAAACATGTACACTTTAAATAAACAACCCATTGCATGCGAGCAAATGCATTTTAACTGAACTCAGATATGTGGCTAACATTTTTGTTTATTATTTTAAGGACCAATTGAACAGGCTGGAAGAGACAGCTTAATGGATCAATATCAACAAGACCAAGAGCAACACACTAGACAGCATCATGATGAGCATTTTGATGAGCAATCAAATCAAATGAGGCACACTCATCACACATTACACATTCAGAATCTCTCATCCAGTGGCGATTGTGCCTCTAAAAAATCCCAACAAAATGGCATTGCATCAAAATCCAGCCATAGTATTGATAACGCATTGGAACAGATTAAGCCACCAACATACCCATCATGTCAAATGGAAAACTCAGTCCCTGCTCTTAATACGATTCGCCAACAGAGCCAAGTCACTTCTTACAAAGACTATTTGGAAGATCATGCTAGTATTCAAGATTCCACTGTCAGGAAGATCAGCTGCACTGGGTCTAAATCAAAAATGGTTTTGGAAAGCACATTGGCCAGTCAACCTGAAAGTCCAGATTCCACAAACGTCTCTAGTTCTGAGTCAAAACATAAAGAGAGTCCACCTGTTAGCCCTCCTCCACCAAGTCGTAGAATGTCAATGGTAAGTATAGCCTTTAAAAGAATTTCCAGTGACTACTTTGTAGATTTTGAAATGGTAAATTCAAATATTAGGAAATACCACTGAATGCATGCTCACAGAAGTGTAGCATTAGGTGCCTGTAAATGAAAGACAGTGATTCACTCCTCCATAACCACAGTTACTTCAATGATGGACAGCCTGAGAGGCCTCAGTCAGAGAATAGAATTAATTAAATACACATCAAGAGTCTATGACATGCAGAGGCGTATGATCATCTTTTTGGATTGAAAACTGACTGGGAGATAATGGAACCAATAAAGATTTGCGGTAGTATGGCCTACTTTACTATAATAAGACCAAATTGTAATATTATTATGAACTGTAGGGAAATTCCTCTCCGATCTATAAAGGTGAGTTAGCTAGGTCTGAGGGTTCATGGTGACTGGAAACATTTTTTCAATCACCTTGTCTGCCTTCTGCATATAGAGGGGCTTACCACATGCCGGAACTTATCAAGCTCCTTTTTTAAATACTTGCATTGATGATGCCCTGTGAAACAAACCACTGCCATCTAATATAACAAGTTTTCGTAAAACTTGCTTAATCGGGAGTGTAAAACCCCCACCTTCGCTGGGGATATGTTGCTTACTGTTTTGTGCGCTTGGAAGTGTAGATGTTCCTTTGTATGGTAACTGACTGGACTCCTCCTGGTGACTCAGAGACAACCTGCTGAGTGGCCAGATACTCAATTTGCATTGCCAAGCTGAAGTGAGAGATCTGGAAGTGTTTTGAATATGGCGAATCAGTATGCCATTAAAATAATTGCTGGCACACAGAAATTTTGCAAGGTCAGCTGTGAAGCTGGTTATGGTGCAAACGTGAAAGGTCAGCTTTGCAATAACTGCCAATACTGTCAGATCAGCATTTACTTTCGTTGATTGCAATGAATATGTTGCAAGTAGGGTAGAGGTTGAGGAAGACTGGCTGCTCAGGGAAGTATCCATACTCAGCCTCTGTCTGGAATATTTTGGTTACATAAGTCACGAAAGTGAATCTGAATTCAGAAGAAGGGTCACTGGACCTGAAATGTTCACTCTGCTTTCTCTCCACAGATGTTGTCAGACCTGCTAAGTTTTTTCCAACAATTTCTGTTTTTGCATCACAAAAGTGGGGGAGTTTATTTATTTGTATAGTTTGATTTTTTAGTTGACAATATGTGGATACTGAGGTTGGTGGTTGTGTGAGGTAGGGCGGGAGGGGAGTGGAGATGAGCAGCTGAGAACAGTCAAAGCAACTAGCTAAGGGAAGAGAAGATCAGGGTAATAACACAGAGCTGCAGAAATCGCTGACC